TAAGTCTGACAAGGAAATAATCAGTCGTGAAAGCAAGAGTGGTCAGCTATTTCCCAATTACCTTTAAGCGTGAGCGTCCTCAGAGACCTGATTGCTGCTTGGCTACTGGAAACCCAAATTTAAGGGCGATGGAGAGTTCCTTCCAAAACACGCCTTCAGCAATCCTTCCGGAAAGCTTTGTCTTATCTGTGGTGTAAAAGTTCACCGTTCCTCTCACCAACCTCTGCCCTGCGTCCTCTCATCCCGAGGGCTGATCTGAGTGGAGAGTTTCAGGGAAAATGCCAAACTTCTGCTTTTTGAATGCCTAAGCTCTGAGTTCTTTAAGTTACTGGTGCTTCTAGGTGAGAGGGATCGTAAGCGTCCCGCTGATTCCATTCCAGACGGACTGTTGTAGCCGCTGCAGCTATTTTACAAACATAGTCTTCTCTAATATAGATTCACTGAGTCAGGAAATTACAATAGCCTCCCTGCCGCAGTATAGAGCCAATGAGGCCTTCTTTACTACGACTATTTCCTTAATGTTAGCATTCTTCGATAACTTCTTATGTCGAATAAGGTCCAAGCACTTAGTTGCCTCTTACGGAAAGCACCATTTGAATGCCTGCAATTGATGGAACACTTCACCTTGATGCTAGCCATGCACCATTTCGACGAGACTATCTTAATTAAGGTAGAGACTATGGCCTTGAAAATCTCCTGGATATCGGGAAAAGCACCCTCTGCATCGGGTTTATATATGAAGGCTTTCTCCGTCTACTTCGCGATCGTTTGAAGGAGGGTCGCGACTGACCTGCACTTGATGTATGCATTTTGAGCTCAGGAATTCTGGTCCTAATGTGCACAGCAATCAGCCTGTCGAGGTTTTTGATCAAAGCATGACACAAGCATGATATCCACACGCTTATCAACCTTAAGTGGCATCCCCACCTTAACGATCAATCCATCCCCTTGGATTGCGAATTGCGGACAAACGGAGTTTTTAATTGCTTGTCCTGTGCATAAAGTGTAGTACGGCTCGTCTTCGTGAAATCATTGTCTCCACGTCTTCGTCGTTATCCCTTCTGACACCGAACTGCATATCTAATAGTACTCCGCCTATCTCGATCGTTGCTACTAGTCTTATTTATTATGCACTGTAGCAATTTCCCATCGTGTCCAGCATACATACAGCGCGATATGTTGAAGGATCTCCCAGTGGTTTTTCAGCCTTGGGGAGGAGGGCTAAACGCGGTTGCTTAAATATGCCAGGGAGGACACTTTCCCCAAAGAAATCATTGAACGTACGAATAAACACTTCTGGACTCGCCTTTGAGAAAAGCTTAAGCATTTGGTTAGGAACGGAATTAGGGCGAGGAGCTTTTCGGTCAATAACATACTCAGATGTCAGAAAACCGCACCTGATTCGGGAGATTTTTTCACTTGTAAAATTTTATATCGGCCTAAAAAGAGACCATTGATGATTTGCTCTACCTTTTCGGTACTTGATATTTTTGGCTGAACTGAAGTTTCTAGATTTTTTGTAATCACTGTATATGCCAATCCCCACAGAACTTGGTCCTCGCTATTACATATGCACAGGAAGCCCTTTTGCTTTATGGCTTGTTTACGCTTGTACGACCATCGTACCTTGACTCTTTGGTATTTACGCATCGCCCTGCTACATTGCCGCCGCAGGTCTGTTATGCGATCGTTCCACTAAAAGGCTCGTGTGTTCCTGTTGCTGGAGGATTTGCTTATCATCTCAGCATCACAAGCCTTATTCGTAGCTCCCTCTGGTCAACTAATTTTCGATGCCATTAAGATTAGCGCCTCTTCGTCTAGTGTGCTCTACTGTCAGCCGACTGGCTTAACTCATCTTGAAGTGCTTGTTATTATTACGTAGACCCGACTGTCGTGGGAACGCCTTGAAGTTCTTCATCTTTTTAGCTCGCCCTCTATCGTCAGCTTACGTCAGCTTTAAGATTTTCTACATATGAGATGCGGTATTTTAGCACAAATCCATACAGCCGCTCGAACGCTGCTATCTCCTGGCCAAAGCTGAGATTCAGGTACTTTATACGGTTCACTTAACAGTGCCTTGTCTACCTTTATTTTCATTACAGTTTGCTTCAACAACTCCTGAGCGGCCTTATAGCGATTTAGGTTCATCTGTAGCACTTTCATGGTTTTATTACTTTTCGTAAAGGGCCATCTGTGGTGTCGCCCTTCAAAAGCTTAGGCTGTCATTGGTCGTCGGTTACCGAATTTCCAACCAGGTCTGTGGAACAAACAGCCGAGGGCTTATTTCCTTCTAGAGTTTTCATTGCATTCATATTCACTTGCAGGTTTTTTTTTTTTTGGAATACTACTTTTTTTGCTTGTGTTTTTGGTTTTTTAATTTGTTCACCTTACCCCTGAAATAGTTTGTTAACTGTACATACATATACATTCATATAAATATTCATAGCAATCATAATTACATGTTGCACCCACTGAGCGTATAATTATGATTTCCTTTCCGTAACAAAAACGCATTTTTATCGACTCTCCACCCACTAAAGGCATGCAACCCTACACCTTACATGCAATGCTATACAATAACTACTAGTAACTAATAGAGCAACAAAAGACTAAAAAACAAAAAAAACTCTGTACACGACAAAAGCAGATATCCTTGTCAATTGTTTTTTTGTTGTTGTTAGTGATAATTGTTGCACTTGTGCACATGTCAACTAGGGT